TCTGGGTCCTGAAGGTTGCAATGGGCTATGCCGCCCGGGAGGGCAACAGGATATGATAAAAAATCTAGAAGTCTTAGGTCCTGAAGGTTGCTGGGTATGGCGCCGGAGGGTGCAACCAGATATGACAGAACGTGTAGAGAGTGCAGTCGAAGGAGCCCAGCTGGACTTAAATCCTGTGCCAGATTTGGCGGTTTTGGTTTTTGCACCGGAAAATGGAGGCCAACAAGGCCCAAAGCAGGTCCCAAAAAGCTACAGGCCACATAGACCCAAAATTCTCTTTCAAGGCCCAGGCTCCACACTACTTCCAGTGTCTGCTCCAAGACCTGAACAAATGTTCGGGGCCTTGTGGGGACAGCTTGTTTGGTGGACCTGAACAAGTGTTCGGGGTGTCGGGGGCTGTCCGTAAAGGTGTCCAGGGTGTGCCCCGGACGTCGGGAACGTGGCCCCAGACACCCCTCACAGGGGCCCCCGGGTCTGGACCCAGACGTCCGGGGAGGGCCCCTGGACGTGTGGGGAGGGCCCCTGAACCCTAAATCCTAACTCCTAAATCCTAAATCTTACGCCCTAAATCCTAAATCCTAAACCCCAAATCCTAAATCCTAAACCCCAAATCCTAAATCCTAAGCCCTAAATCCTAAATCCTAATCTCCAAGTCCTGAGGTTGCAATGGGTAGGGCTTAGGGTTCTTTATATATATATATATCTATCTATATATGCATACAATATATATATCTTCACACTTTCAGTGGGGAGAACCTCTTTAAGTGCATAGGAGGCGTTACGAGGCTTTGCCTTACGTCAGTGTCTATAGGTGGGTCTCCTAGCGAAAGACCACAGAGAGGAGCGAGCGTGCGCCCCTTGGGGTCGCAGCAAAGCTCGCTCCTCTTAGTTGAGGGTTTAGGGTTTAGGGTACATCTTGGGATTCTCTAGGGATAATATAGGGTAAGATAAGGATCATGGAAATTAAATGGGAACTGCTATTTAGGGTTTAGGGTTCAGGGTTTAGGGTTACTAGGTATTCTATGTATGCCCATATATGACGATGTACTACTACATGTTACTGACATTTAGTTGAATTCTCCATGCCAGCCCAAACGCCAGCAGGATAGAATTCCATCTTCCATGAGACACCCCAAACCCTAAACCCTAGACTCGCAAGGCCTCGGACCGCTCAATCGCTCAAGAAGCTCAGCTTTGCAGCTAGCAAGCTTGAGAAAGCGTGGCAATCCAGAACGGGAAGGCAAACAGATGTAATAAGATGCGGTACAACTGGTAGTGAAGGGTACCCCTTTAAAGGTCCCTAGAATAAGGGTTATAGCATTTTGGGGTCTATACTGGGGTCCCCCTACTTATGGAAACTACAAAAATTTGCAGAAGAATTTTGAGCACCAGCGCACGTACAAGTTACAAGTACCAGCTTGCAGGCAAAGTTTTGCATGAAAGGCTCGCAACATGCAAAGACTCCTGTATGCACATTTTGTGCTCAGGATTGAAACGACCTCAAAGCCTTTGCTTTTACAGGCGCACACGTGCCGTTTTAGGCTTTGACATCTTCGCGAACTACATTACATTCCTTCCACCACAAGCATCGCTGGCTAAAATCTTGTACCATCAGTATGGACCGTGAACTTAGCTGTGCTCTTCCAGAAACACACAGACATACAGTGCACAACCTTCCCATAAAGTTGATAATTCCTGAATCTCATTTTCAGGGTCCCAACATCCCTCAGTGGCCATGGTAGAGGTCAGGTCGCCGCAGCGCGCTGAGCGCACCCTTAGAGCAGCTTCATGCTTGAAGAGTAGCATCACAGCATCCATGCCCTGGTAGATCTATTCCTTTGACACTGGCAACACACACATCAACTTCCACAGCCATTCTGAGGTTCCGGCACGTCCATCTTGCTGATGCATTCGTACATCATGGAGAGGTGCCCGAGCATCATGGAGGGGTGCCCGAGGATCACGTACGTCTCGGACTCCGACATCACGGATGTCGCGCACTTCACCGCGAACTTCCCGAACATCACGGACGTCACGGACATCCCGCACATCACGAACTTCACGGGCTTCTCGTACTTCACGAACTGCCCAAAGGATAGCTTTCCGAGTACAACCACTGCTGAGATGCTAGCGCACAGCTTTCTTCTGCCCGAATGATCACGAATACCGTATGCAGCTACAGACACTGTGGTTGTTGAATGCAAGAAGCTCTGCTGCAAGTATGCGAGAGTGAAGAATGATTCTTGTCAAGTTGAACAAATGGTACTTTCCCAAAACAGGGGGCCCCAACACAGGCGAATACTATAAATCTCACTACGGGGACCCTAAAAGTACCACTAGTTTTGGGATGCCCTACACCCTAAACTCTATATGAGCTATAGTCAAAACTCCTAGTATCCCCCTTGATAACCCCTATAGTAGTTCCCTATATAATCCCCCATATAACCCCCCTTTAAGGAGTTTAGACAATGGCTCATATGACCCTTTGTCTTGGCCTGCCCGCTCGCCCGGGATAGGCCCCGGCAAAGAAGCCCCTGGTCCCGGCACCTTCCAGGTTCCATCCACAGGGTTTAAGGTATAGGATTAAGGATTTAGGGGTTTAGGGGTTTAGGGTTTAGGGTTTAGGGTTTAGGGTTTATTTCTGCTTTATGTAAGGAATATGTAGGGTTGAGGGTGGTTTAGGTTTGAAAGTTTTTAGAGTTTAGGTTTTGGGTATAATGAGTTTAGGGTTAAGCCTTTGGGGTGTAGGGTTAGGGTTTAGGGAGAGCATGCACATTGTGTGACAATGCATGACAGCTATATCACTAATATCACTAATATCATCATTATTACCATTATGACTATGGTTTTGGAGATTCCTGGGCTCTTTAGCTCCCCTTATTATCCTGATATGGACTATCCCTAGCTCCTTANNGCTCCCCCCAAAAGTATGGGTGGCTACTGTTACTATTGCTACTATTATTCCCTTTCTGGGGCTCCCCGTATACTAGGGCCTGCAACCCGAAACCTAGTATTCAGGGTTTTTGGTTTGGGGCGTACGGTTTCACCCCAAATCAGCTTTGGGGAAAGGAAACGTAGAAATTGCCCTGATACTGTTGGATTTAGGGGTTATGCAGGGGTTATA